GTTTTAATAAGACCAGCATCACTAGCCTGTCACCTTTTTAGCAATGTTAAAACTTAAGTCAATATGTTTTTGACTTTGATTTTAAGTTACTTTGCGTCTAACGCAGTTTTGTTTTTCCAAAAGGTCTTGTGATATCAAATGGGTATCAGTGGAAGCAACAGAGGAGATTTGCTCTTCATACACTCAGAAACTTTGGTCTGGGAAAGAAGACCCTGGAGTTTTCCATCCAGCAGGAGTGCCAGTATCTCACAGAGGCTTTTGCAGATCACCAAGGCACACACAGACACACAAACACATTAAACTCACACTTTTTATGATGACACAGTAATAATACTTTTTTTTTTAAATCTTCGTTAATAATAACCATTAATGGTTAATATGGATATATCCTTTTACTTTACCTCAAACTTCTGCATGACAACGTAAACCCACACATTACTACATAAGACTCTAAATCCAACTATTCAAACAGTCATAGTGAAACACACAACAAACTTAAACATAAGTTCATGTAAAATTTGTTTTAAAGTATCCAAAATTCATTAATATAAGTTTACTCAGATTTTTTGTCTAATGGCCTCTTTCAGGAAATCCTTTTAATACCCAGTCACTGTTAACCAATGCTGTGTCCAACATCATTTGCTGTCTGGTGTTTGGGAATCGATTTGAGTACACTGACAAGCAGTTTCAGTCAATTCTGCAGCTCTTCAATGAGATAGTGTGCTTGCAGGGAACCATGTGGGCACAGGTGAAACTCTTTTACATACTGTAGTTGTTGTTTGACTCAGGATTCATACAGAACATATATAAAACCACTTTAACTGAACTTTTTTGTGCAGCCCAAGCTGTTTTTGCAAACGGAGCAGTTAGTAGAGCATAACTATTGTGCATATTAGACTCCACCAACGCTGCGCCTTTTCTCAGATTCTGTCACTGATATCCAAAAGCAGAAATATTTCAATGTCGAGTTCATTTAAAAACAGTGGAGGAAGAAAGTTACATATTTTGAAATCTGGTGCAATGTAAAACTGATATTAATTGCAATTAAAGTGCACTTTAAAATTGTGTTTAAATGAATTTGCTTGGTTACTTTTCATTATTGTCTATCACAGTTTAAGCCTACTTTTGTCCAATTTGAGCTACTTAACATTAACATATTGGTTATTCTGTTTACTTCTAGTAGGTTGCCATGGGTAGTTGATAAGTGAACTGCAGGGACACCATGTGATGTAATATCTTTGAAAGCTAACTGTTTCCAGGGTGTCAGATGCTTTATTGCTACTGTCTTCCTGTTCTGTAGATTTACAACACATTACCCTGGCTGATGAGGTGGCTGCCTGGACCTCACCAAAAAATATTCACCATAACCCAAAAGATAATTGACTTTGTAGAAGTCAAGATCAAAGAACACAGAGAAAACTTCAACCCATCATCACCAAGAGACTACATCGATGCTTTTCTCTTAGAAATGGGGGAGGTAAGTGTTTTCAAAATGTGTTCTTGTTCATTCACATTTTTTAATGAAACATGTTTCCCACTTCTGGCTTTTGTGTTTCTGATAGAAGGAGGACGAAGACTCTGGTTTTAGTCTCAGCAATTTGTGTATTTGCACCTGGACTTGTTTGGTGCTGGAACTGAAACCACTACAACTACTTTACACTGGGGACTGCTATACATGATCTACTACCCTGACATTCAAGGTGTGTGTATGAACAATATTAATCCTGAATACACACTTGTAACCATCTTTCTATTAGTTTTTTTCAGGGATTTCTCACAGATCATTCTTGTGTTGGGAGAGAAAGATGTGTAAATTTCCCCCCTGGTTATCTAAGCAGCACAAACATCAGTTACTTTTTTAATAGTGCCAAATTGCAACAACAGCCACCAGTTTGTTTTCTCACTATGTGCAGAAAAAGTCCAGGCTGAGATCGATGCTGTGATCGGTTCATCCAGACAGCCGTCTATGACTGACAGAGAAAACATGCCGTATACTGATGCGGTCATCCATGAGATCCAGAGAATGGGCAACATCATTCCCCTCAATGTGGCCCATGTTGCAAACAGGGAAACGACAGTGGATAAGTACACAATCCCAAAGGTACACAAAGCAATTGTGAAGATGAATATTTTATAGCACTTTTTGTTTCTTTTTTTTTTTAGATAGATTTTGAATTAAAAACTAGGAAAGCCGTCCTTTTATATCTAATGCCAGGATTCTCAAAGTTGGTTGACTTAAATAAAGTTTTGTTTTGAATTCCAGAACATCCTAAACTACAACTACCTGTTGTGTTAAGTTAAACAAGCCTATATGTCACGTGAGAACACTGTAACTTCCATAAAAAGCTGCCCCAACTTCACCACAAAATGCAGAAAATGTATCCAGTAAAAGTGTTTAGCTAGAAAATAAAAGCTAGAGCAAGAGTGAGAATGGGACACAAATGAGATGGACCGAGATGCTGAGACATCCCAAAATATACTTGGGGCCAAAACATTAAACACAGTATGAATATAGTTAGTTTCAATTCAATTTTATTTAGATATCACCAAATCACAATAACTGTCACCTTGGGGTGCTGATTATTGATAAAGTCCAACAATCAGATGGCTCCTTTTAGGGAATTACTTGGGAACAGTAGGAAGGAAAAACTACCTTTAAACAAGAAGAAACCTGCAGCAAAACCAGCTTCAGGGAAGGGCAGCCATCTGCTGTGACCAGACGAGGGGTGAGGGGAGGAGAAAGGAACAAAAAGACACACTGTGGAAGAGAGCCAGACATTAATAATAACTAATGATTAAATACAAAGAAATGGATGAACACATAAAGAATGAAAAAAGAAAGGGAAGGGGAAGGATTTTAAATTTAATTCTAGATTTAACTGGAAGCCAATGAAGAGAAGTGAATATGAATGAAATCTGTTCTGTCTTTCTAGTCCCTGTCAGAGCTCTTACTGCAGCATTTTGGATCAATGCTCACTGAAGGCTTTTCAGTGAGCATTTATAGTGACCTGGCACTAATGAATAGTCTACTGTAGAAGTAATAAATGCACAAACAATTAGCAATACCAGAAACATGTATGACAAACTGACTAGCACAAACGCTAAAGAGACACAAATAAATAACGCTTCTAACTGGCTGTATTTTCTCAGGGTACAATGATCATACCTGCTCTACACTCGGTCTTAAATGACGAGACAATGTGGGAAACTCCAAACTCCTTCAACCCTCAACACTTTCTCGACCAGGATGGTAAATTCAGGAGGAGAGAGGCCTTCCTTCCTTTTTCTGCAGGTTAGTCAGTTGTTGCAGTTCATCAAAATCCATTTAAAGGATGTTTAAAGCCAAGTGCTTTAAAGAGGCAAAATTACTGAAGGAGAATGTCTTGCCATTAACCTTTTGCCTTAGCAGCCATTTACAATAACAGTGTTAACTTTGCTGAGGATTAACTTCTAAATTGTGTGAATAAAACTTGTGTGTCTCATTGTGTATTCAGGCAAGCGTGTGTGTCTCGGGGAACAACTGGCCCGGATGGAGTTATTCCTGTTTTTTACCTCCCTCCTTCAGAGGTTTTCATTCTCTGCACCTGCTGGAGAGCAGCCCAGCCTGGAGTTTAAGTTAGGAGCCACTCGCAGTCCCAAACCTTACCGCCTCTGTGCCGTGCCACGTTAAACACCAGCTCTTTTAATCTGAGCACTTGTTTTCCCAGCAAAATGGATCGCAACGAATCACCGTCTACCATTACATTTATGTTGTATTGAATGATGATCTGCTATATTACTATTTCTTTAGATTAAAGTCAATTGTTATTTTTCATTCTCTCCATATTAAAATAGCAGTAAATATCTTCTCCTGCAACTTTCTTAAAGTCTTTTCCAGTGCACATTAAATTTGTCAGGCCTACCAAACTCATTGTGCTCAAATAAATCACACTGTCATTAGGATTTGTGTTTAAGGTCACAATATAGTTTCAGACTGAGTTTTAACGGGTGGGAGTGCAGTTCATTTCAGTGCTGTTTATCAGTTTGAGAATGCATGATGTAATCTGGACACTTCAGTTTCAATAAAAACTTTACTCTTTATTTAAAGGTTTTCAGAGTCACTTGTTGTCTTCATGAATAAAACACCACATTCTGGCATGTGAAGAAATAAAGAACTTTTCTTGGGTGTAAATCAAACCTTTGCCTTTGCACACAAAGCAAATTCTGAGGTGTTCTTTATCTTCACATGTGCATGATATCAAATATAACCAGTGAGAGAATGTCACCACATCTAAAGTAACCATGGTGAGGCAAATATCCTTAAGTGAAAGCACTATTACCGCACAAATACTACTAGTGACCAATAATTCAGCAATCTTAAGATTATAAACAAAGGATAATTATAGGCTGGATGTGAACCTCATTGCTGGCTGGAGCTTTTGTGTGGAATCTGCCTGTTCTTTGTACAGACACACAATGGGACACACCTCTAAAAGTGGTTGAAAACAACAAGTTTCAGATTGGTGACAGTAAAATTGTGAGATTAAGAGGACTGAGGTACAACTGGAGCAGGTTGAGAGGTTGAATGGGTGCATTGGAGGCTTCAACCCCTAAACTGGGAGAGTGCATTCAGCAGATTACAGGTTCTGAAGTTCAACTTCTGAAGTCTCTGTTGAGAAAAAATCAAGTTCTATAAACATCTACAGAAACCAAGGGATCTGGTTAAACCCCCATTACAGCCAGTGAAGGTTTTACTATGCTAATATGCGCTTTTCAAAGAGAAATCTGTGTTACTATATTGCTTTTTGGCCATTGGACCCCTCTGCAGCAGCTGCAGGTACAACAAGAGAGCACTGAGCACTGTTTTCACAACCTAGCATGCCCCAGCTGCATGCTTACCGCATGCATTTGGTACCAAACCTCAGATCTGTTGTGCTGGCGCAGTTAAGAGTGTTATCCCGTCCCTGACACATCTGACGAATAAGCGGAGTAAACGTTCTCACGTGTTTTGTAATGACGCATTTTGATTCTCTTTTTTCTCTTTGTGAAAAGAAACCAAAGCTCGAGGGGGAGTTAACAAATCGATCAACTGATTGTTACCTGTAAACGAACTACAGGTCAGCACAAACAACTGAAGACATGGAGACATTATACAGTGTCCTCGGCTTAGAGTGGATAGACTTCAGCAGCATTTTCTTATTCCTGTGTGTTTTTCTGCTCCTGACTGATTTTTTAAAGAACAGAGTGCCGAGAAATTTTCCTCCTGGACCCTGGGCACTTCCTTTCATCGGCGATCTTCATCGCATCAGACCTAGTAGACTTCACCTGCAGTTCGCAGAGGTATGACACTATACATAAGAATAATATGTTATATTAAACAAATTGCTGACAGGTTAAAGTAACACTCTAGTTTGACCGCTTTTAAAATACACATTTATTGTTTTCATTAGAGGATTAAAGATTTTATGCTAAGTTTAGAGTTTAAGATGAAGACACCAGGCCTGCCCAATAAAGTCGCTCTGCCTCATTAACTGAATTGTACTGATACACTTTAAGTTACACTAATCAAATGTGCAAGTTAGGGCTGCTCAATTAATCGAATTTTAATCACGATTACGATCTGGGCTTTCAACGATCAGTAAAAATGACTGAGCCGATTATTAGCCCCTCCCTCATTTATCCGCGACACCTTAAAGGCCGGTCCGTGAAAATATTGTCGGGCATAAACCGGTCCGTGGCGCAAAAAAGGGTGG